GAAATTCATTTTGTTATGCAATCAAAAAATTAAAATAAAATTATATACAGATTTTCTGTTTTGTTTAAATTAAATAAAAGTAAATATTCCGTATTAGTTCAGACGAAAATATTAATATAACTTATGTGCTATATTAAGGTAAATGCACCAATTCCGAGACACTTAAGACCAATGTCTGGACACCTTTATCATTTTAAACAAAACAATTTCCGTCGCCAGCAAATAATTCAAAATAAGTCGTTTTAGTTTTTAAATAAATACAACGCGAATTAAAATCAAAGATAAAAATATAATACAAGAAAAATATTTTTATCTTTGATCCTTTGATTCTTTGATTCTTTAATTCGCATTATAATTTATTTAAGAACGAAGATAATAAAAATGTCCAGACATAGGTACGTGTCCAAACATTGGTATATTTACCTTAATACATAAAAGATATAAATTGCACAAGTACGACGAAGCAATAGAGACATTTTCAAAAATAATATACAAAATAATTTTAGTAACATAATTTTTAATTAATTTTAATTATTAATTTTGGTATAGGCGCTCGTTTTTACGTATTTTTGTTTTTGTTGCAGCATTTGCATATATATCTACCGGTATATTTGGTATAACCGCTCTCGTGCCACGCATCTTGGATGTAGTGTTTCCATTGAATACTTCCCGTCCAGTAATGTTCCCATATCCGGCATACTATTTCGTTGACGAAAATGAATATTTCTACTATATCTTTGGCCATATGTATTTTACTGGCATTATAAATATTACTGGATTAATCGCGCACGACATCACGTTTTTCGTTTACATCGAACACGTCTGCGGTCTTTTCGCCATCGTTGGGTAATGACTATTCATATCGAGAACGAGATCACATCTCCTTTAGTTAAGAGATAAATAAACTTCTTTATACCGAAGAATAAATGTAACGTAATAATAGTTTCAGTTTTCGTACATATTTACATAAAAGGAGTTAATCCTTTTAATAACAAGCGACTGGGACGCGAACGGCCCTCCAGTGACCAACGCGTCGATTCGCCGATATACGCGATTCGACCGAGAAAGTTAGGCACTCGACGTTCAATGCCTTCAATTACTATATGTATCATCTCATCATATCTAACTAGTGTAATAAAATTCAGTAAACAAAACAATTTAAAATATTTATCAACAGAAGCGTTTCAAGTTAACATTTCAAGTTGCTCGGCCGACTTTAAATACCACTTTTTAATTCCCGGCGTTACTATCTACGGATAACAATTTAAAACGTCTAATATAGCACGACGCACTCCAGAAACGAGTTAATCAAAATGTCTTGTCAATTTACTTAAGTTTACTTCTACTCATAAAATACAATTTGGAAGACATCAAAATGTTATTACATTAAAAAACTGAAAAATGAAACTTACCTCATATAACGTTTTCGATTTGTTGTCTCGACCCGACTAGAGTCAGATTGAAAGTTCGGAAAAATGATAACAAAATATGATAATATGTGATGAAAGTTAAGGAACGCTTTCTGTTATGATATAATTTAGAATCATCGAGTTTTAAACTGAACTTTCGATCTGATCCGAGTCGGGTCGGGTCAACAAATTGAGAATACTAAGTTTCAACGTTGTTCAGTCGAATCGACTGTCATACGGCGTCACTCAGTCATGACAGTTCACGAATTAACTTAATGTTGCCAACCTAACTTACACGAAAATAAATATACCTGCCCCACCGGTGGGGCAAAAGTGCGATTTTGCAATCAGTTGAACAAAAGTTTATTACATGGAATGTATTCAAAATATAGACATAAACTAGTAAACTTTGAAAAAGAATGTTTGAATATTTTACAGTTTAAATTTCAAGATTCAAGCTATATATATCTCAACGGATATATGGGATCAAAAACTGAGTGCGTAATTTTGCCCCACTATACTCTATAATGGACAGTGGCTATAGTCACTCTCCATACCGAAAGGGTTAATTCTTAAATTCAGAAATTAGTTCTGAAAATTCTCTAATAACATTATTTCACGCTCTACTTGCAGATTTAGACTTGAGCATCTGTTACATAAACGTTGTGCTATAGAAAAAAATATGATCGATTATCCGGATGCCGTGTATCACAAGAATATTGCGATTTCGATTTACATTCATCATAAGGCTCTACGGTGAGTTTGTAACAAACGTAATACATATTCTTTTCGTTAATCCTAATGTTAATTAAAAAATCTTTGATAATCCGTGATAAGTTACGATGTTTTTGCTCGACTTTTATTTAGATATTTAGTTGTCATTATTATATCCTTATCATAGGTTTGTTGAATTTCTTGAGAGTACTTTTACGATATGGTTAGCCGTGCAAGTTCTGATGATTACAATTACCTTGAGCATTACTTTAGTACAAGTGAGTTACCTACGATGCAAATGTTAGAATTCTGTAATGTAATGAACAACTAAAACAGGACTTTACTTTTCTCGAGTTGAAGCTCTCGATACAGCTGCACAATTTAGAGGAAGCGGTTAGGTACTTCCTCTACATTTTTGGTCAATTGTTTCACATGTTTTGCTTAAGCTTCCAAGGACAAAAGCTGATAGATCACAGCCTCGAAACTTGCGACAAGATGTAAGAGACAATATTAAATTAAAAATAAATTATTTATTGATATAAATTTGATCGGTAGAGTAACTCCGGTATAAACGCCGCAGCTAAGGGAAACTTAATTTATCGAATACTATTTACTATGTTTAAGGCAAATGCATTATACCAATAAAAACTTTATACTGTCTACTTCTATAAAAAATATAGAAGTATGAAATATTCATTCTTTGTATTTAATATAAAAAAACTTTTAGAAACCCTTGCATTTTTGCCATATATCTTATAGAGGTAGGATATATGATATTCATGGGTGAAATATACGCTTTATAAAAAATTACAAATAATGTTTATAAATAAGGCAATAAAATGTCATAATATAAATTTATAAAATGTGTGTAAGAAGTTTATTATGATGTAAAAATGATAAACAAATTATAAAATTGAAAAATTTTTAAAAGAAAATAGGGGAACGACAGATACATTAGAGGTTATTGGTATACGATTCACAAAAAAGAAAGGAAAAGAACACATAGGAGATTTCGATTTTTACAGAGCGTCTGTATGTACTATGGCATAAATCGCGCATGCTAAAATGCTGTATATCCTAAACAGAAAAGATATACAAAATATCAAGCTAAACAAATAATATAAGAGTTATGCACTTGTATATTGCTGTATTTCTTCCCTTACTATCTCTCTACACTTATGTATCATGAAATAACCATTAAACCTTTTACATTCCCTACAGTAATCATTTTACGTAGGTCGCAATATATGATCACGCTACTTACTACGGTGAGAAATCGATTCAACTCACGACGGTTTCGTTAATATTAACAGTAAAGAACTGAAACTACAACACAATACTAATATGGCATAATGGCACATAACAGTGTAATTGCGAGCAAGTATCTCTATTTTTTCTATTTTTTTTACTTCTGCGGCCTAAATCCCCGCGCGGCGTAAATATCGAAGTTACCTTGTAGAGGATATCTTTTCCATAGAAACACACAAGCATTTAATTATTTTCTACAATCAGTATTCTCATCTTATTTATCGTGCTTATTTTATGCGTATAATGGCAATTTTATAGATATTGTGGCCGGTGGTATACCATACCCGTGAAGGAGCAAGGACTGCTCATGTTCGTAATGAGAAAAAGTATCAATGCTAGTGTCTTGACCGCCGGCAAGATATACGTATTTTCTCTAAAA